ATTCAAACATTGAAATAATTATGAAATAATGAATTGCATCAAATACAGAAAAAAAGAACTATATTTAATGATAATTAAAAATTTATATTAAAATAGAATAGGTTACACGAAAAAATTATTATAAATTCAAGCGGTCCCCCAAAATTTTCAGCCAATGGCACATGAGCTGAGTATGAATGGCGCATCCCTCCTACAGGATCCCTACGATAATTGTACGCCCCTGTGTCCATCAAACGAACTAAAGTCTCTGGGATCACTGGGGATCACTGTGTTAAATAGTTCGCAACACTCTTTGCATATAGTTTATAAATACAATATTTATTGCATAAATATTTATACGTATATATATACATTTCTATATATATATATATATATGAGTAAATATTTATAACATAACCAACTTTTATGTAAACTTTAAATACTTTTTTATAAAACAATATTTTAGTAATATTATTTTAGATTTTAGTAATATTATTTAGACAATCATTATATATGATGAATATCATATCATATTATATATTTCATTCATATACATGTATATGTATATTTATTTTTTTATAGGGTTTCGGTAATTTTGTTGTTATTGTGCCTTACTTATGCTAACTCACGTTATACAGTTTTAACATAGCTCCAATGATTCACACAGGATGACAGGCAGAATTTATTAAAACTTTTAAAACTATTTAATTGTTAATACGGAATGAATAAATAAATAATAAATGTTGTTAAAATATTGACTTTATTTATGTAAAAGAAGAAATGGTGTATATACATTTGCATTGACGAATAATGTATATACAGTTGCTAATCATCACATTATTGCAAAATTTACTTCAGGATATACGATAGAATGCAAATATTTTCTATCGATGATATCATCTTTACTGAACAATAAGAAAAACATTTTATTTTCCAGTTTTTTTTTTTTAAATAATTATAGTGTTGCACATTGTAGAATACAAGAGTTCTTTAAATAGTGAATGTAATTTTTTTTTATTCAGCAATCTTCTGTCAAGTCATATGTTAAGATATAGTAAAAAAAAAAATTTCTATGCAGCTGCTATATAAGCTGAAAGTTATAAGTCTTTTAACGTAGCAAAGCAAGCAATCACAGATACGAAATTATATGCAATATAAGAAACTTAATACTCTCGGCAATCTATCTAATAATTGACATAATACATTACGACTAGATTTATTTATTCATTATCAAAAGACTACACATTTTGATTTGATTTTACTTTAATTAGGATAATTAATAATATCAGGGATAATAAAAATATTAGTGGAAGAAGAAACTTGTTCGAGCACAGTGACACATCATCATTCCTGTTATAGTATTATTAAATGTGCTTATTTTCAAATTTTTAATTCCTAGTGCAATATAAAACCAAATTAAAAGGTAAATATTTTGCCATAAAAATAAGATTTATGAAATATTAAAATTACAAACTGTAAAATTTTTTTAATTGAGAAGATTTAAGATGTTTTTATAAGTGCAGTTATCTTACTATTGTTTTTTTTTTTAATAAAGTGATCCTCTTAAAACACAATTAAAATCTTGCATATTGCGCGTTTATGCTGTAAAGTATTATCATCAAAATGGAGAACGAAAAATTGGATGTAATAATATTTGGTGCTACTGGATTTAGTGGAAAATACGTGGTTAAAGAAGCGGCACGTTATATAAAAGAAAATAATTTTACTTTTGGAGTAGCTGGACGCAGAAAAGAGGCATTAGAATCCGTTCTTAAAGAACACGCACCAGATCTTAGTAAGATTTATGATTTAATTAAATATATAAGTTATCATATAAATATTCATGGTTATTAATATCTTTAAAATTAGGATGCAATATTAATATATTTTATTGATCGTCTAGGTATTCCTATCATTATTGCGGATGTAAAAGATGAACAATCTATTAATAAAATGGTAGAGAAAGCAAAAGTGCTAATTAATTGTAGTGGTCCATTTGCTTTTTGTGGAGAACCTGTTATTAAAGCTTGTATAGCTGCTAAAACTCACTACGTTGATATAAGTGGAGAAACTATGGTATGTGTTGACTTCATTCTTGTATTGGATAAACTATCATCACATATATGACCGATATTGTTTGAGAATGAGATGTTTAGCTATAGCCTATATATAACTTGATTTGTGAAACATATTACGTTAAAGATGTTCAACTAAAAAATTTGACATAGGACTACACAGTAGATCTTTAATGTTTTAACATTTTCTAAGAAAGTCAAAGATATATCAATTTTGTTATCATAAAAATAATTTWGATCTTTTTTATGTTTGTCTGTTGCTAGTTCATAGAAGAAATGGTATTGAAGTATAACGAAGCAGCACAAAAAGCTGGCGTCTATATTATAAGTGCTTGTGGTTTTGATAGCATTCCTTCTGATCTTGGTATCATATTTACACAACAAAAGTTTGGCGGCGAAGTTAATAGCATTGAAGAATACATTAGTATATCARATCAYGTAAARCTWARCAAACCTWTAKTAMACTTTACAACTTTGGAAAGTSYTATTAATRTATTGGGCAATATTGAKAAATTACGTGAAAATCGTARRAAAYTATTYTYCAAAAAATTACCAGAATTTAAGCCCAAATTAAATATAAAGTTAGTTGAATTATTATATAATTGATCTATAAATATATTATTATAAATATTATTTAGATCAGGGTTTCTCAAARAGTGGGATCATGTAMCTAAACTTRGAGGTTGCAGAAATTTGARTCAGAAATTKRGAACTACGACGTTYCTGGGCGGGCAATGACYRAAAATGAATTTGAAATCAATTAAGCAAAACTACTGTATAGTATATCTRTGAGTTTATGTTAGTGAGAGAGAAGATAGTGTAGATTCTATACTGAGGATTGCGATAATATTTGCTAGGGTAAAGTTGGCTGCTGAATAAAAAAAGTTTGAGAAACCCTAATTTAAACTATACTAAAAATTGCTTATAAAATATTATATCACCATTTTTTTTATATTAGACGCAGGCTTCCGCACAAATCTCCTTTTACAAATAATTATTCAGTGTTATTCGTTGGTCCAGATTATTCAATAGTTCATCGCACACAAAGATTTTTGTATGAAGAATATAATCAAAGACCTGCTCAGGTTGCAATATATTTAAGTATCAAAGCTAAGTTAGTATTTTTTTTTCAAATATAAATGTAACTTGTTTTTTCTTTCAGATAATAATAATCACCATATTAATCAAAAATTTTTCTTTATTAGATTTCTAACGAAAATTATTGCAWTAATGCTATTATTAATAACTCTTGTTCTTTCAAAATTTTCATCTGGACGCAATTTAATATTGAAGGTAATTTGGAAAATGCGACAAATCAGACACGTTTTCACGTACAAAAGATATGTTAGTTTTATATAAGATAAGAAAAATATTGTTTATTTTTAGTATCCTGAAMTATTTACTWACGGRTTWGTKAGTCGAAAAGAGCCGAGTGAAGAAGCATTGAACAARATYGAGATATGTSYAACTTTYTTAACACGTGGTTGGACTGAAAAATTAAGYGAACCTTCCGACGTTCATTCGGATMCACCAAATAAGGAGATGGTGACAAAAGTYACTTGTAMCAATGKATATTATATTACTGCTATTAGCGTATTATTTAGCGCTCTTACTATTTGTAAAGAATCTGATAAAATGCCTCAAAGGTAAAAATGTATTTCATTTTTATATCGTCCGTAACAATTTTATTTATATTTGATAATATATGATTTTTTGTTTATTTTAGTGGTGGGGTTCTCACTGCTGGTGCTGCATTTAGTAAGACTTCTTTGATTAATACATTAAATAATCATGGTCTTAAATTTGAAGTTGTTTCATCCATTGAAAAATGAAGGTATTGTTACTATGGTCTAATGTAAGTGTACAATATTTCATTAACGATTCATGATGATAAGCATAAATTTTTGATATTTTACTTACTAAATGTACTCTTACAAAAATGAAATTCACCTATTTATATATTCTTAACGAAGGTGCTTGGTTTATAAGAAATTCATAAAGTACTATGAAATTATGGATGTCAATAAGGGTAATYTTTAACACGTGTTATCTAATTACTAAAGATTTATATATTACTATATTTATAAGTAAAATATTAATGTCATCTCGTATTATAATGTTTTAGAAAAAAACAAAAAGAAGAAACTTATTTCCTAAATGGTTATCATTATCGTTTAATCAATTTCAATTATTTAATAGATTTTTAATAAATTTAACATTTATTTTAAAAATGTGAAATGAAGAAGGATAAATACAAGCTGAACGACGTAATAAAAGTGTATTTTTATACCAATAATTTATAATTAATTYAATATGTTGGGTTATGATTTTGTTATTTCATTGGTTATGACGTCAAGCTTTGAAATGAAACGATAAGTTGGCAACAATGGTACTGTGCTGTCAGATCGTGTCGTCCGAACACATGGACATGAGTCGCTTTCATAGTGTGCCACTCCGGCGTGCCCGCCAACTTTGGTTACACTCGACTTCTTTCGACATCCCAAACACACGGACATGGAAAACTTTCATTATGTGCAATCCCAGTGACACAGGGAGAGGGTAAGATTTACCCACGATCTGGCAGCACAGCAATGGTGTGTTTTTCCTTAGTCATTCATTGCACGTATTCAATGACGTACACACGCATGTGCTCCGTTAGTTCCAGATGCGTTGATAATTGTTGGATATTCCAAGATGAAATTCCAGATAATGTTGGCTCTTAAAAAGTATTTTCTTCGAAAAGATACTATCGTTTGAGAAAGTATGAATCATTTCTTTTGTAATAAAGTAGATTGGATTTTTCTTCTTTTGTTTTAATGGAAGGTCAATTGCAATAGCGGTCTTTCAAATTCAAATAATCCTTCGAACTGACCGATTTAAATTAAGTATATTTTCTTCATTTTATTAACCTTGTCACATTAACTAAGTTATATTTATAATTAAAAATATTTTTCATATTATTTGAATGACTTCGATTATTATATTATAAATTTATGTAAATATAAAATTAGACTATTTTAAAAACTTTAGTAATTTTTGGTATATAACATAAAAACAACAACACAATAACATTATTGTTTTCTGAAGATTAAACTTTTTATGTTTATTTATTATTTTCTTTATTTTTAAAATTAATTTCTTCAATAATAACCTTTTTTTCATACATCACTCAATAGTTTTCCTCATAAATACATTCTATGTGTAAAATATGTATGCATATAGAGAGATGCTTAAACAACACATTCACTCATCTTCACCTTCATAAACTTGTATTTTACGTACATTTATCTTATTTTTGTTGATACAGTTAAAGGGTTTTTTTTTTAGTACTATTTGTCTTGTATTTTTATTTGTTTATTATTTGCATATTGGTTACTGATAAGTATTTGAATATGATCTTAACTCCATTATCGTGACTTCAATTATGTAAGACTTAGTTACTATTGGTAAATTATTCTCACGGAAGCAAATAATATTATTTTTAATCATATATTTWACTGTCTCTAACTCTTCTCAATATGATTTTAGTATTTTTTTCCTATTCATATTATTTATATGATATCGAAACAATCGATCAATTATTTATTGCTCCAAATATGATAATGGAAGATTATAAAAAAAAAAGAAAATTATAAGTTAAGGAAGAATACAAAATTACAATAGAAATTGTGAACTAAAAAAAATAACTATAAAAATAAAAAACTAATAAAGTTGAAAGATCAATTGTTATATCGTAGAAATTGAAAGTAATATAAGATAATTAAAAATAAAATGAAATATGAGAAAAATATCAAGTAATCAAATTTGAAAATGAACAAATATGAAGCCTAGCGTCACACGGATTCTTAGGGAAATTCTCGTCAGGCCACAGTCATTACATAGCATTAAAAAAAATAGTTAAATGTCAGTCACTCGGGATTGACACGGCCTAACGAAAAGTCGTACTTTGCGAAAATTCAAAGTCGATTTTCTCGAAAACAAAGCTTTAAACGAAAAATTGTTATTCCTTATTTTCGATTTATTTTTTCATGTAGACTCCCTTTTTTATCTTGTACTACCAGTTACAGATCACTCTGTATACAGTTGCTAATCATCATAATTGCAAAATTTACTTCAGAATATACGATATAATGCAAATAATTTTTATCGATGATATAATCTTTTCTGAACGATAAGAAAAACATGTTATGTTCCAGTTTTTTTTTGAAATAATTATAGTGTGGCTCATTATAGAATATGAGTTCTTTAAATAGTGTATGTAATTTTTTACGCCGATTCTCTCTGGGCTCTTACTGCTGGTGCTGCATTTAGTAAAACTTCTTTGATCAATAAATTAAATAATCATGCTCTTAAATTTGAAGTTGTTTCATCCATTGAAAAATGAAGGTATTGTTACTATGTGTTCTGAATTCTCACTATTTTTAAAATAAATATCAATGATTTTAAAAAAATTCTAAAATATCGAGGAAAATTTAATCTTTTTCGGAATCGGAAGTATTTGTTCTTTGGCATCGATACGTTTATTGCAGGGTACATTCAGATTCTCACGTAGGGCTGGATCACTGTTTACTCTCTATTCTCACCTGCGTTATGCTTTTATTTTTTTGTAATAAATATTATACTGTACATATACAAATGTTAATGAAAAATAATACTCTTATAAGGTTTTATAAAATTCATAAATTTGATTGTATTCTACCGTCGACAATGACTATTGAAGCATAAGTAGTCATGAATCATAAATAATTTACAGAAATACACCCAAAATTGCAGTACCGTGGCATGTCCGATTCTCGTTTTTCAAACTAAATGTATAAATTTCTATAAAGATTTGTTTAAGGGGACGTTCTACTCGAAGCACCCAAAAAAAGGCTATTTTCGCGAATTTTTTCCAAGAAAACTATAAAAGATACCGATATAAAAGTTGTTGGGTTTGTTAAATTGAGTCTTAAACTA